ATGTCTTCTTTGGAAAAATGTCTGTTCATGTCTTCTGCCCATTTCTTGATTGGATTCTTTGTTCTTTGGGTGTTGAGTTTGATCATTTCTTTATAGATTTTGGATACTAGCCCTTTATCTGATACGTCATTTGCAAATATCTTCTTCCATTCTGTCGGTTGTCTTTTGGTTTTGTTGACTGTTTCTTTTGCTGTGAAAAAGCTTTTTATCTTGATGAAGTCCCAATAGTTCTTTTTTGCCCTTGCTTCCCTTGCCTTTGGAGATGTTTCTAGGAAGAAGTTGCTGCGGTTGAGGTCGAAGAGGTTGCTGCCTGTGTTCTCCTTTAGGATTTTGATGGATTCCTGTCTCACATTGAGGTCTTTCAACCATTTGGAGTCTATTTTTGTGTGTGGTGTAAGGAAATGGTCCAGTTCATTCTTCTGCATGTGGCTGTTCAATTTTCCCAACACCATTTGTTGAAGAGAGTTTTTTCCATTGGACATTCTTTCCTACTTTGTCAAAGATTAGTTGACCATAGAGTTGAGGGTCCATTTCTGGGCTTTCTATTCTGTTCCATTGATCTATGTGTCTGTTTTTGTGCCAGTACCATACTGTCTTGATGATGACAGCTTTGTAATAGAGCTGGAAGTCCGGAATTGTGATGCCCCTTTCAAGTAGTTTTAAAAACATTAGCCACGTGAAAGAGAGCCAGAAAATATATATTAGCTCAAACTTACTCATCAGCCTCCTCCCTTCCCTCCCTTCATCTCTCTTCACTTCTATTGCTGGCAATATTGCCAGGATAAGACTATCTATCACCAAAATTACCATTTTAATTCAATAGAAAATAATTTAAATTATCATCTAACTGAATCTACCATTTAGTTCTGTATGAGTGAATCCAGGCCCCAATATAAAATATTCCATAGTCAATTTAATGAGGGAATGGTGTGAGAGAAAGAGAGAAAAAGAGAAAAAAAGAGGCAGATTGAGTGCATAATATTTTACATTTCTTTTATAATGTTTGCATTAAGCCTACTGTCTAATTTCCATTTTTTGAAACTCAGTGATTATTTTATTGTTACACTTTTAAAAGAATGCAATTTTGAAAAAGAAAAGCAGAGCTGGAGGCATCACCATTCTGGACTTCAAATTATATTACAAAGCTGTGGTGATCAAGGCAGTATGAGACTGGCACAAAAACAGACACATAGATCAATGGAACAGAATAGAAAAACCCAGAAGTGGACCCACAACATAATGGGCAACTAATCTTCGACAAAGCAGGAAAGAATATCCAATGGAAAAAAGACAGACTCTTCAACAAATGGTGTTGGGAAAATTAGACAGCCACATGCAGAAGAATGAAACTGGACCACTTTCTTTACATCATGCACAAAAATAAATTCAAAATAGATGAAAGACCTAAATGTAAGACAGGAAACCACCAAAATCCTAGAGGAGAACCCAGGCAGCAACCTCTTTGACATCAGCCATAGCAACTTCTTACTATACACTATGTCTCCGGAGGCAAGGGAAACAAAAGCAAAAATGAACTATTGGGACTTCATGAAGATAAAAAGCTTCTGCACAGCGAAGGAAACAATCAACAAAACTAAAAGGCAACCTTCAAAATGGGAGAAGGTATTTGCAAATGACATATCTGATAAAGGATTAATATCCAAAATCTATAAAGAACTTATCAAACTCAACACCCAAAAAACAAATAATCCAGTTAGGAAATGGGCAGAAGACATGAATAGACATTTTTCCAAAGAAGACATCCAGATGGCCATCAGACACATGAAAAGATGCTCCACATCACTCGGCATCAGGGAAATACAAATCAAAACCACAGTGAAATACCACCTCACACCAGTCAGAATGGCTAAAATTAACAAGTCAGGAAATGACAGATGTTGGCGGGGATGCGGAGAAAAGGGAACCCTCCTACACTGTTGGTGGGAATGCAAGCTGGTGCAGCCACTCTGGAAAACAGTACGGAGGTTCCTCACAAAGTTAAAAATAGAAGTAACCTATGATCCAGGAATTACACTACCAAGTATTTACCCAAAGGATACAAAAATACAGATTTGAAGGGACACATGCACCCTGATGTTTATAGCAGCATTATCAACAATAGCCAAATTGTGAAAGTGCCCAAATGTCCATCGACTGATGAAGATGTGGTGTCTATATACAATGGAGTATTACTCATCCATAAAAAAGAATGAAACCTTGCCATTTGCAACAATGTGGATGAAGCTAGAGAGTATTATGCTAAGCAAAATAAGTCAGTCAGCGAAAGACAAATATCATATGATTTTACTCATGTGGAATTTAAGAAATGAAACAGAGGAACATAGGGGAAAAAAAGAGAGGCAAACCATAAAACAGACTTAACTATAGAGAACAACCTGAAGGTTGATGGAGGGGAGGTGGAAGGGGGGATGGGCTAAATGGGTGATGGACATTAAGGAAGGCACTTGTGATGAGCACTGGGTGCTATATGTAAGTGATGAATCACCAAATTCTACTCCTGAAACTAATATTACACTATGTGTTAACTAAGTGGAATTTAAAAAAAGCTTGAACCAATATATATATGACTGTATGAATGAATGAAGCTCTTCCCAATAAGGTCAGCTGGGAGGAAGTGGAGAACAGAAATTAATAAAAATGTGCCTTGTTTCAAATCCTTAATGTGTATATTACCCACAGAAATTTCTCAGAAACTGAATGGTGTATTTCTTTATATCAAGCTGGGAGGGACGGCCTTGCTCCAAGTATCCCTTGATACTAACTTACTTTCTGGGACTCTTCACAGAAACTTCTTATGAGTCTTTTTAGAAAAGATATAGAAATTACAAATTTACGCCATAACTTCAGAAGTGTTAACTTTACACAGAGGGCTGGAAGAGAAATTCATATCGCTGTAAATATTTTAGAAGTATTTGGGGAGCATGTTGCCATTTGTCAGATGTAAGAGTGGCCCAGACTGGTTAGATTATGCAGCCATGTAGTTGTTGCTTCAGATAAAGGGAAAAAGAAGAAATACTGTCTAATTGGGATGTGACAAGTTGTTAACACATGATCTGACTGGAAGAAGCGATCCAAGGAGTATTTACTACCTCTTGGGAATTTACTATCTCAAGAGAGTAACTCTGCATGATTCCTTTCTTTATTGTTTGTAAAGATCGTGGAAATCATTATGGAATTAAATTTTAGTGCCTCTTTGTAACCTTTGATGTTTTATGATGCACATAAACTTTTAAGCTTGCTTCAAACATTTGAAAATCATCCAGAGGAAGAAAGATATCCTGGTACATGGAGGTGGTGAAATGTAACGGGTATTTAATCTTTTTTTAGTCCTTTCAACGTCTTTGAATTAGGTATCATTTCTATTTTCCAAAGAAACTGAGTTTCAAAGGGGTTTAAATTATTTGTGTGGTAATTGGCAAAGTCAGCATCTGAGCCCAGATCTCTAATTTCAAGGCTGGGATTATTGATTGTTCCTCAAGAGCTGGATCTTTGGATCTGTTCTAAAAAGAGGCAGGAATGTGCACATGTGAGCTGACTTGAGTAACTTCATTTGTTGTCTCCAGCACGTTAAACACTCCATTACAGTCATTAAAGTCTTATCACCTAGTTATTAGTTGTTTTTTTTTTTTTTTGAGGGATCAGAGACATATCTAGCTAAAAAGGTCACAAGTGAGATGAAACTTGAAATAGTTCTAGAAGTACTTGTGCCTGAAATGCTACCTGCTTCCAGGATATATGACTCATCAGCATGAAAAGTTTTTAAGATTTCTTTTTCAATTGATAAGACAGAACAGTGCCTAAAAGTGCTGGGAAATGAGGAAGAAAGAAGTGTTTGAAAATGGACAGATGTGGGGTGTCTGGGTGGCTTAGTCGGTTAAGAATCCGACTCTTGATTTCAGGGTTGTGAGATCGAGCCCAGCGTCGGACATGGACCGTGCTAAGATTCTCTCTCTCTCTCCCTCTGCCCCTCCACATACCCCCTGTGCTCTCTCTTTCTCTTTCTCTAAAATAAGTAAATAAAATCTTTTTTAAAAAAAAGAAAAGAGGGCGCCTGGGTGGCTCAGTTGGTTAAGCGACTGCCTTCAGCTCAGGTCATGATCCCAGGGTCCTGGGATTGAGTCCCGCATCGGGCTCCCTGCTCTGCGGGGAGCCTGCTTCTCCCTCTCCCACTCCCCCTGCTTGTGTTCCCTCTCTCGCTGTGTCTCTCTCTGTCAAATAAATAAATAAAATCTTTAAAAAAAAAAAGAAAAGAAATGGACAGATGTGCCCTGTTTCTTATTTGAGTTAAAGACTGACCTCAATGAATTTTTAAAATTTCACAGGAGAGTTTATCACTGATAGACCATAGATAATTCAAATGCTCTAAGACTGGCCCACACTTCCCATTTATGAGTAAATATAACCCTTATTCTTATTTACATGGAATCTGGAGATTTAATGTCCTAGACTCTGAGCCCAGATATTTGAAAAGAGTTTAGATATGAATCTCAACAAGGTAACCAGATGCAAATTTCTGCAGGGCCCTTACTGTATTGCACAAGGGAGATAGATCACAATCCAGATATAAGTACACATGAAATTTAAGGTAGTAAATCAAGTCCCCAGATAATTACTTATCTGGCAACACAATGCAATAGAAAGGGCCTGTTGTTGGGGGGTGCGGGGAGGGGAGGAGAAAAAGAAACCCTATGTCTGACACTGGTTGGGCCACAAATTGCAGTTGAATTTCTGGCAAGTTATTTAACTTCTATGAATCCATTTCTGCATGGATACAATTAGAGCATTGAATTACGCCCATTCTAGCCTTAATATGGTGAGTTGGCATTCATCCATATCTTAGGTAGTGTTCCTCGGAAACTTAACAGGACACACAAGAAGTGATGTGTACTGTCTTAGTGATAACCTCTCCAAATCAATTGGGATCTTTTGTTTAAGAACTTGAGGAAAATCTTTTAACGATTTTTCTTGCTCCTTTCTAGGATTATCTGGGAGCTTGCATTGTCCTCACTGCGTCTATTGCATCCATCAGCGGCTCTTCCAATTCTGGATTGGTGGGTTTGGGTCTTCTATATGCACTTACGGTAGGTATGGATGAACACATCACTTTTCATGTAGTGTTGAAGGTACTATCTATAGTTATTATCGATTCCTATTCATGGATGTAAGAGGAGCAGATTGAAATTCTTAACAAAATGACATCTTGCAAATAAAAGGAGATTGGGGCCCAAACCCAGCATTTTAGGGCAGCGTGGATTCAGTTCTGATACTGCAAATTGGTTTTTAGAAACTCCTCAAAATCTATGGTGAGAGCACTCCCAAGGCTGTTTGAGATCCCTGTCCCTAACTTGTTCACAGCCTATTTGGGGACACTAAAATGAATATGAATATAAATGAGATAAGTGCAATCAGAGCTACATTCAACTTGTGCAGGGAAATCAGAGGACAGTTTACGAATCATTGACATGTGAGGACCCTTGAAGAAGAGTGGACACCTCCTTTGCCTATTTTATCCCATGACACCCTCCCTGGTCTCTGATATCTTGCAGCACTTACGAATTGTACCACATGATATACACTAACTGTCCAAGTCATCCTATCCTAAAATATCCAGTGATTACAAAGATCGTTACTTCGTTTCAAATGTGTTAATTTCTTTTTGTCACCTGCCACAGATAACCAATTATTTGAACTGGGTTGTGAGGAACTTGGCTGACCTGGAGGTCCAGATGGGGGCAGTGAAGAAAGTGAACAGTTTCTTGACTATGGAATCTGAGAACTATGAAGGCACTATGGGTATTGCTCTGAATATTATTTTGTTTCACTTAAATATTTATTTTATACAAATATTAGTTGTGTGTCAGACACATTGCCATTTTTGGTTTTGTTTTCCACTTTAATATCCAAGAATCCCTTCTTGTCTTGGCTTTGCTTTATGAGATATACCTGAAATGATATGGCTATTTAGGCCTGAAAAGTTTGGGATACGACCAGACTCCAAATAGATGTTATGTAGTAATATTTAAAGAGAATTATAAAAAGTATTTGGACTTGGGGCACCTGGGTGGCTCAGTCGTTAAGCGTCTGCCTTCGGCTCAGGTCATGATCCCAGAGTCCTGGGATCGAGCCCCACATCGGGCTCCCTGCTCGGCGGGAAGCCTGCTTCTCCCTCTCCCACTCCCCCTGCTTGTGTTCTCTCTCTCGCTGTCTCTCTCTCTCTCTGTCAAATAAATAAATAAAATCTTTAAAAAAAAAAGTATTTGGACTTTATTACATTCATTACCAACCTACACTATGAACTATTTATTGTGTTCTCTTTCTCAAGATCGTATTAACTTAAATGTCAAGAAACTTGGCTCTTACTGAGATTCTCAGCTTTGCTAGAATAAAATTGGCAGGAAATTCAATACTGAAGATGGAATGATCTTTCTTAAATTCAGATTTCATGCTTAAAATGAATTATTTTGCCTAAATCGTTCAATAGCTATCTGGGTCTTCAAGGACAAAATCCAGATAAGTTAGCTAAGACCACTAGACTCTTCATTAGTTGATCCTTGCCCACCTACCTGGTCTCATCTCTCATCATCTATCCAACATGCCAAGGTTTCTTTTTATCTTTGTTCTCTCCATATATATTTGAAACAAATCTCCCCATCCCTAATCCTTTAAGACTCATCTCAGGCACCATCTCTTGAAACCCTCCTGGAACTCTCAGGTTACCACCATCTGTGCTCCCAGAGCACCTTGGGTTGGACTCCATCATGTGACCCTGCATGCAGTACTATAGATCCTGATGCTTCCCCAGGATGCAGGGAGCACTTTGTGGCATGTCTTTCATCTCCATATTCCCATCACCTTGCACAACACTTCTCATTTTAAGCACTCAAATGTTTGATGACTGACTGAACAAATGAATGAATTTGCAGATGAACTATCTTCAATAGAACCAAACGATGGAATACAGAAAAGACATGATAGTTCATGCTTCCAAAAGAAACACACACAAAAGCTATTTTGAAATTTCTTAATCAATAGGCCTTTACTCTGAATGTAATTTTAATTTTAAAAAGACACAGAATTTGGTTCAGTATTACTTAAAATTTATTTTTTATATGTATATGTTTGTATGTATAAATGTATATAAGTATGTGTATGTTTCTTCCTGCCCCTCTTTCCTTCCCTCTCTCTCCCTCCCTCTCTCTCCCCCTCTCTTCCTGTCTCCCTCTCTCCTTCTCCCTCTGACTTCCCCTACTCCACCCTCACCCCCCAGACCCTTCTCAAGTTCCAGAACATTGGCCACAGGAAGGAGAGATCAAGATTCATGACCTATGTGTCAGATATGAAAATAATCTGAAACCTGTTCTTAAGCATGTCAAGGCGTACATCAAACCAGGGCAAAAGGTATGGAATTCACTGCCATTTGTTTCATACAAATCAGAGGATGGAGCCACTTGATCACTATCTAAGCTCTTGAGATATTCAGCCAAGTACATTTTCACTGGGCTCGCATAATTCTCCCTATACTTGTAAGTCAAATTATCTACATAGAGAGAAAAGAGAGAGAGAGGATCAGGATAAAATACATGTTCTCTAAGTTGTATTGACATTCATTATTCTCCCGGGAAGATCAGGAAAATCAACAATATGTGTGTTTGTCCAAATTTCTGGCTTCTGGCTTACAGCCATATCAGACATCTCCTTGAGGACTTTTGCATTTGTACTAGCTTTAGTCCCAAAATGATTTGTTTTAGCTACTTTAAGAAGAGAAAATGTGCAAAAAAGAATTGGAGCCAGTCTACTTTTTGTTATAAAATCATCACTTCTAAGATAAAATTGAATACTTACTTATTAGACCAACAATATACTAAATGCAAAAATTAAGCCACGAAGGAAAAACAACACAGCCACATACAAATAAAAAGAGTTAGAATGAAATCATTGAAGATTTGGTGAGGACTCTGTGTTTTTATCTTAATGTTCATAATAAAAGAATGACGATTTATTAGCTATTTAAATAGAGGTACAGTTTCCCCATGGTATCTTGTCAAAATTAAAAATACTTTGTGCCCATCTTCTGCCTTTTTTCTGAGTCCTTTTCTGTCTGAGTGACATTTGCTTTTTAGGTGGGCATATGTGGTCGCACTGGTAGCGGGAAATCATCATTATCACTGGCTTTCTTCAGAATGGTGGATATATTTGATGGTAAGTTACTAACTAAATGTTCTCATTCGCTATGTGGTGCTTTTCCTTAAAAAAAGTGAGGCATCAACTTACCTAATCCTGCAGAAATAAAGAGCAAATATTTATAAGGACTTTGTGTCCTGAGACCCATGATTTGAGGCAGGTGTCCCAGGTCAACAGTCTGGAAGTAAAGAATGAACGTAAAATTGCTAATAAAATTATTAGCTCTAAACTCAGCTCTAGAGATTGTTGTTAAAGAATTCTAATAAACTGGTAAAATGAAAACAAAGCCACCCATTTTGAACAGCAGTAGATGTGGGTGGCATTTCAAGAGGAAAGGAGAGAAAGGAAGTCTGTCTTGCTTTGCTCAAACTAAAAACACATCCATTTCCATCAAAGGAAAAAAATGCAAGGAGATAAGTAATCTGCATTATTAATTTTGGTGCATGACTCTTACCTTCATAACATGGTTTAATGATGCTGAACATTTTGTGGGGTGGCAACTTGCTAAGTGCCAAGCACATGTTGACAATATACAAAAATATTTATTCATCCACAAAATTATTAATAACATGATACATGGGAATAATTTAATCTTTGCTTTAGAGAAAATATGTCACATTATTTAGTCTATCAAGTAACCTATAAATAGCCCAGCACATAAACCGTCTTGAGTAAAAGGGGATCCAGCAATGTGCTTGATCATCAGCTCCAGGAAGCGCTTCCTACTATTATCTGAAATGATTGCGATGATGATTATAGTACTTCACATTTTTATTGTACTTGACAGTTTATATTACTTAATCTACACAACAGCTCTGTGAGGTGAAGAGGTCAGTTTATGAACAGAGATGAACTACAGTAATTGCAGTCTCCTTGGGGGTTAGATTCAGGAGCAGAGTAGGTAGGCATCAGCCGCTGGGTTAGCAGCTTGCTCTTCCATGGCTAGTAATAATAAATAATACACAGATACTTTAAGGAATTTCAGTGGATTTTCATTATAAGTCAGTTACATGATCCAAAGACAATTGATTGACACTTTCCATTAAAAAAAAAAAACAAAAACGGTTATAACTGAACATATTAGATTAGCCTGTTCCTTATGAATCCAGAAACATGTTTTCAGGCCCCATGTGGACTATCAATGACTGATTCTCCTGGTTAGCATTAGGCTATTAAGATTTTAATAGATAATGTGTTATTCCTGAAAGAAAGGTTAAGCTGACCACCTTGCCTCCTCTTGAATCTACATCTAGCTGGAAAAGGGACTCCACCTGCCATTCTTTGCTTGGCCTACTCATTTCATATGGCAGTACTGTCTTCGCACAAAGTGACATAATCTATCTTAAAATAATCTATCAATTTGAGGTCAAAGATATCAAGATGGCACAAGTCTCTAATAAGTCTAAATACAGTATGGAGAAATTCATTAAAATTTGATATCTATGTCATAGAATTTCCTTTCTTATTTACAATACACTGTCCTGTTCAATCAATAAAAGAGTGAATAATTTAGACAAAATCACTGTCTTCAGGGAGTTTATATTCTAGTTGGGAGAGAGAGACAATAAAAAAAGATAAGTACATGTATATAAAATATCTTGTGAAGGAAAATAAAGCAGGGAACAAGGATAAAGGAATATTGGAAGGGAGAGGACCCATTAAGGAGAAAAAGTACTTTTGGTTTGTATGAACCATGGAAACTGAATAAAAACTGAGAATCTCTTTAAGAGAAAATACATAGGAAAGAGAACATACCACCAAAATGTATATTTTTCATAAAAATGCATAATGATGCTTTTAATAGTTAAATGGAAAGCTTTATATTCTGATAAACCCTGAACTAGGAAGGTACTTTCAATTTGTAAACAAATATTATTTTACTTTTGATTTTACTAAATGCCTGCAATTTTTTGTTTCTGTTTAACAGGAAAGATTGTCATTGATGGGATAGACATTTCAAAACTACCACTGCACACACTACGTTCTAGACTTTCAATCATTTTGCAGGATCCAATACTATTCAGTGGTTCTATTAGGTAGGTGATGTATTCGATAGAAACCCGAATGTCTCAGGATTTACCTTTTGGCTCATAGGAGAGTTTTACTCAGAACTGTTTTTCAGGTAGGTGTGAAAGACATTTTCAGGATGATAAGAAGGAATATTCTAGTCAACAATTCTGGTCAACCCTAGAGTTGCTAAATTAACCTCTACAGAGGCCAGTCCTTTATTTATTCCAGGAGCTCTGCTCTTTCAATTTGACTCCACAAAAGTCACTTCTTCCTCAGTACTTGGGGCAGTGATTCTTTTTTTTTTTTTTTTTAAGATTTTATTTATTTATTTGACAGAGAGAGACACAGCGAGAGAGGGAACACAAGCAGGGGGAGTGGGAGAGGGAGAGAGAGAAGCAGACTCCCCACTGAGCTGGGAGTCTGACGTGGGGCTCTATCCCAGGACCCTGGGATCATGACCTTGGGCCTAAGGCAGATGCTTAACAACTGAGCCACCCAGGTGCCCCTGGGGCAATGATTCTTGGCAGACATTTCTAAGGTGTTCTACCCTACAGATATCCTGCCTATCACTATGTGTCTGGCTTGGGCTCAGCAATATTGAGTTTGGTTAATCCCTTGATTCCCCCATCCCTCATAATTTTTCTTTCAGCCAAAATTGCTTTTAAGAAGCTGCTACAATCTTCTCCATGCCTGGTTTATGGTTTCCCAGAGTAAAAAAAAAAAAAAAAAAAAAAAAGCAGTATCTACTACCTGCTAAGTGCTTTAAATATATTGTCTCATCAAATCCTCAAAGCACTGCTCTAGTATACATATTATTATCCTCATTTTACATATGAGCATTTTGAAAGTCAGAGAAGCTCTAACTGGTTCAAGTTCATACACTTAGTAAGTGGTAGAGTTTGTCTGATTCCCAGAGTCCACCATGGCATTAACCACCAGGTCATGTCTCTCAATGCATCCATCTTTTGTTCTCTCTTGCTCCCCTCCTCTACCTTAATTACAAAGAAATATTGCCACCTCCTTTTGTCTTGAAGAGAAAATGGACGTAAGATTGCTCAATATTCAGCTGTAAAATCACTTTAATTGAAAGTTGCGGATGTATGCAGTTATTTAGAAACGCCATAGTGAATTTACATGTCCCGGTAGATTTACTATTTAGATTTACTACTATTGTGGTTGGTGCAGCACAGCTCATCTAAGACAGCATTGCGTGTTCCCGTATAATCATTGGTTCTGTAAAAACACTTTGCTAGACACTATTCAAGTTACATTAAATATATCAAAGTGGATAAATCCACATAATGAATTTTATCATGTCATATCTTGCATATAAACTTACTAATTGTATCTTTGGAAAACATTTTTCATAACATTAAGGTCATTCATTTATTCATCCAACATGAATTGAATGCCTGCTCTATCCTGAGCACTGTTCTAGGTATTAGGGATATAGCAATAACCAAAACAAATGGAACTTATATATTTAAGGAAAGAACAGCAATAAGCAAACGTATGTATTTATTGACTAAATAACTTATTTTTTTTCCCCTACAGATTTAATTTAGATCCAGAGTGTAAATGCACAGACGACAGACTCTGGGAAGCTCTAGAAATTGCTCAGCTGAAGAATATGGTCAAATCCCTACCAGGAGGTCTAGGTATATTTTCTAGAGAATACACTTATTTTTACATATGCAATTAATTCTATATATCTCTATATTTTATGCTAAAATCACATAATTCATGTTAAGTCCCTTTAAACTTAATCTCCAAAAGGTCATTAGGATACTTCAAAATCTAATGTTTTTGCATAGGATGCCAGAGGATGAAACTTATAACAAATTCTGTTCTATATGAACACTCCAAAATATTCCAGTTAATACATTTAACTCTTCAGTCTTTTCACTTTTAGTGGTACAGTTTTATTTTATTTTATTTTATTTTATTTTATTTTATTTTATTTTATTTTATTTTATTTTATTTTATTTTATTTTATTTTATTTTATTTTATTGAGAGAGAGGGCACAAGAGGGTGAGTGGGGGAGGAGGGGCAGGGGGAGAGAGAGAATCTCAAGCAGGCTCCATCTCATGACCCTGAGATCATGACCTGAGCTGAAATCAAGAGTCGGATGCTTAACTGACTAAGCCACCCAGGCGCCCAAGTGGTACAGGTCATTTGAATCAGAATATTTCCCTGTGGTCATTCTACTCATGTGATTGACATGACCCCTGACTCCCAGTAAATGGGTAGGAGGATTGAAGAGGCTACTAGGTTCAGAGTAGTCGGTACCATGTAGGAGCAGGCAGTTTCTCCACATTGGCAGCCACTTTCTTTGTTGCCAGTAGGGCCTATTCCTTATATTTATGTGACATAATTTTGTGAAGACATTATTTTCTATGACCTTGCTACAACCTCAGTTTTAGCCACCTGTGTAAGAGATAAAACATGTACTCAAACAATCAGATATAAATTTAGTCCCAGAGGTAGACAATTTCTGGCAAATAACTGATGACAGAATAAAACAACAACATGAATAATTAAAGATTAACAAAACAAAACAACAGAAAGTACACAATGCGGTCTTTAATTCATAAAAATGATGAATATCTATAATTTTGGACTTTTGCTTCCTTTGATAAGGAAAATCTATGTCCTAAGACAGCCGACAGAGCCAGTGAGAGAGTCCCAGTCCTTGCCCCAGGGCTCTTCTGGGTTCTTTTCCCTGCTCTGCTTCCCGAATGCACCAATCTGGGTTCTTCTCCCTGCCCTGCTTTGCGCATGCGCCAAAAGTGCCAAGTATGCAGAAGTAGAAGTGTATAAATTGCCCCCTTTGTTTGTGCTTGGGGCTCAGACGTTTGGAGACCACTCTCCTCTGAGCCCGCTGGCGTTAAACAAACCTCCTATCCTCCAAGATCTCCGAGTGCCGCTTGGTTCTTCTGTCAGGCGATCCAGTCCAGGTTCCGTAACACCTTAAAATCTGAACTCATTTAAGAAAGCAGTCAGAAAGATAAGAGTTGGTTGATATTCTAATTTTAATACATAATATGTAGCTGCCATGTTGATTGTGTTGTTTTGGCATCTAGAAAAAAAATCAGCCCACAAAATAAAACATGTTTATTTGGGAAGGAGGACCTACTCAAAAATAATACCTTTTATGATTTTAATTAAGTCCCAAGGGAAAGGCCTCCCACAAACAGAAATTGAGATAGCATGTCTTTAAAGATAGTTTTATTGACCTTGCCAGTGTTAGACTATGGGAGCAATTCCAGGGATCTGGATGAACTTTCCCATCATAATTTTGATGTCTCTCATGGCGAGCCAAGCAAGTCTACTTGAGAAATTGATACTGCATATAGACCCTTCTCCTGTGATATTTAGAGACACTCACACCTTTAGTACTTGGGAATACAGGCAATTAATGACTTTGTAGTCCTCTTCCTTCACGCAAAAGATGTATGCACCTGTTTTGAATCATGGGCATAATGTTCAAGGGTTATGGTACAGTGTAAGCAACAGGGGATTATATTTACACTATGTAATTGAATGTTGTTTATGTTCATTGTCTTCATAAAGATTACATCAGTTGCTTGATAAAGATCTGGTTCAGGCCAATTCTGGTGAAAAACATCCATCATCTCTTGCACCCTCCTTATTTATTATGTAAATTAAAATTTAGAGAATAAAGGCATAGCCCCCAAGCATGAAAAATTACAAGAATCTGATGCAATGAGAAAACAGAAAATAGAAATTTATCCCTAGGACTCTACTAGGATGTGTTTGAATTCTAATAAAAGAGATGTTTTGAGAACAGAATTTATCTTAAACTCACAAGAGGACAGTTTATGAAATGTGGATGGAAACCAAAAAAGAAAAAGAAAATGATAATGAGGATCTAACAGTCGTTTATCTATCCAACAAGGTTTTATTCAGCTGCTATGTCAGATACCAAGTGCTGAGGATACACTGATGAACAAAAATAAATCCAGTCTTTAGCCATGTGGAACTTACAGTCCAGTGGGATGGTATAATAAAAAGAGAATGGACATTGGAGTCAAGAATGTTCTGTTTCTTATCAAGCTCTACTGCAAATTAGCTCTGTGATCATGGGCAAGCCACTTCATTTCTCTGGGCCTCAGATAACTATGTTAAATAATCTCCTTAGATAATTATATTAAATAACTAAATAACCTCTAGGGTCTTCCAGTTTTCAAAATGCCTTACCAGTATTTTATATCCTGTATAAGGAGGTAATTTACCACCTTTTGTCAAAAATAGGATGGCCCAGGATCATCTTCATTTTCCCAAAGTAAAATTCCTCTTTGCCTCTCCAGTATGAAATGTTTGCAAACAGTGAGATCCAGTATCCTCTTGTGGGACATTCCCATTTTTCCCTACTTTGCTCAAGGAAAAAGTTAGTAGCATTTCGGTGAAATCCTTGCTTCTCTCTCTGATGTAGATGCAGTTGTCACTGAAGGTGGGGAGAACTTCAGTGTTGGACAGAGACAGCTGTTCTGCCTTGCTAGGGCCTTTGTCCGCAAGAGCAGCATTCTCATCATGGACGAAGCCACGGCTTCCATTGACATGGCCACGGTGAGTGCGTCATCTGTACTTCTTAAATTGAAGATCTGGGGAAATGCACGTGAAAATGACAACTTAGTTTTTCCCGCTTGGGTTCAAAGTCCTCAGTACTGTTGTTCCAGTGCCTTCTCATTCATCTCTTTAATCAACTGATGATAGCACACTGAGAATTAAAATAAAGGAGACATGACAGTCTACTGCCAGTCAACATAAAATAAATTGGCCATCACTTTTTGATAAATTCTTAAAACAGTATAATTCCAGTGCTCAGTTGACAAGAGTCCTATACTGTGTTCAAGCGTTCAAGTCTTGAGCCATGGAAGTTATAAAATGAAGTATGCAAATCTTATTGCTAACCAAAATCAATCATTATTTTCTAAAGCAATTTGAAGAAGGATTCACTAGAATTAATAATGATCTTCTCAGTGTGTTCATGGTAACGAGCCAGAAACTTTGCCTTTTGAAAGAAATTATTTAAAACTGAAGGATCTGTCTAGAAGGCTATGATTAAGTGGAGAAAATGTCACATTAAGCCACAAACTGTAAGCGTGAGCAATTAATGTTGTTCTTATACAAGTTAACTTGATATTAAAAGTTTGGCATCAGAAAGGACAAAAATAAAAAACATCCACAAACATGGTATTTTCTTGCCGCACACTCCAGATTGGGTAAAAAATATCCAAAAAGCTGAAACAGTTTCAAGATTATTAACAGCCCATTATATATGGAAATGCTAATTGACATCATTTTTTTCTGTTAAGACTAATCAGTTATACAAAGTTATAAATCCTTCTCAAAGTTAACATAATTTAAAGTAATAAATAGTTTCTAATTAAGCCAGTTCACTAGATACATAACTACATCAAAATTAGTATTAATTGCTAAGGATTTACAATATTTACAATTTACAATAAAGGTTATTATAATACAGCCTCAGTAGAGATGGGAGAGAAAGGGAGAATGGAGCATATGGAGCCTTAGGAGCCCAGCAGAAGCTTGCTGTGGGGACTGCTCCAGAGAAGACAGGAGCTGGGAGTTCTCAGCAGGGATTGGGCCTGGGGGCGGGGCGCGGGGCGGTCTTTGCTCTCGGGGACAAAATAGTATGGAGAGAAAAAGGACTCCAGAGAAAATTCAGACTTAATTTATTGATTTTTTGGCAGGAAAACATTTTGCAGAAAGTGGTAATGACGGCTTTTGCAGACCGCACCGTTGTTACAATAGCTGTAAGTATTGGAGACAGTGTTGATTTACTCCTCTTTGGTTTTTGTTCCAAGATTCAATAATCTTTATTTTGGGGCAATTCAAGTATATGTATCTTGAATTATGTATTTCTCTGCCAATGTTTCTGTATCTGTGCAAAACAAAAAACCAAAACAACAACAACAAAACACAGCTATGCTCTGAAAGCCTTTATATTGTTTTTTTTTTTCCCCAAACTGTTCTACCTAGCTCCCCTAATTTACAGTGATGGGATATCTTAAATCTAAGGATTCCAGCAGGAATGCCTGCGTGTTTTTTTTTTTTTCACCAGATACAGATGGTAGTTCATATGGGATAATTCTCTTTTCAATAATCTAATCATCCGATGAGCAGTTTCAGAAGCAAAATTCTTCTACGTGACTACCAATTCTGCTACCGCTTACACTTAATTTCTGTTCCTATTCACCTGTTTAAAAAAAGAAGGTAATGAGATACATCACAGCTGAGGTAGATACTTTCTCTGAGCACCAATCCAATTGAAGAATTGCCCAAATCTTTGTAATTGTAATAGCTTAACTTACAGTAGGCCATGGTTTTCTTCTTCCTCTTTGCAGGTGGATGGATTCTTGCTCACATTTAGGCTTAATGTTTAACAAGAACTTTTTTGATCGAATCACCTGGACATTTTCCCTCTTGCTGATTCTTGTCTTTCCATTTCTCTTTTCTCTCCAGCACCGTGTTTCTTCTATTTTGGATGCAGGTCTTATTTTAGTCTTCTCTGAGGGTATTTTAGTGGAGTGTGATACTGTTCCAAACTTGCTCGCCCACAAGAATGGCCTCTTTTCCACTTTGGTGATGACCAACAAGTAGACCATCATCAGCTACCCTGCCAACTGTTCCATCCTCTGGTAGTTATCTTAAGGGCATCCCTCTCAGCCAGGCAGGGCTAATGCAGTGATTAAAGGGGGTGGGTGGGGAGAGAGCTACCTACAGAGTGTTCTCACATAAATCAGCTTAACCAGCTGATTCAGTTATGTTCAATTCTGAATGAGGCGCATGCATAATTTTCTAATATATATATGTATATATATGTATATATATACATATATATATATATATATATATATATATGCAAAAGATAGTATTTACAAAAACCCAAGAACCAGATTCACCTCTGTTGTAAGGACCAATTTCACTCTTCTTTGGGGGATATATTGTAAGTGTCCTTAAAAATACTGTACATGTTCCTTACCTGCCCTGAAGATTGCATTTTTTTAATTTACAGAATTATTTAGGTTTAACTGTTGAATACTGGGAGCTATGTATGGAGTGCTTGCTTATGCTTCCATTTTTGTCAATGATGCATGGAAAAAGAGCAGCCTTTGAAGTGCAGCGTTTTTTAAAGTGGCAGGAAATCAGGGCCCACCTTCTGTACACTGGGTCTAAATGAAAAAAACACTTTTCTCTCACTTTCCCAATGAACTCTGCCCTGGAGGAGAGTTTCCTGATTAAGTCATTCATACTAAAGTGTGAATGATTTAATGGGTGAGAGAACTGGCTAACTTGAAAAACAGTTCTCTAATATTTTCAAGAATTTTCTCACTGGAGAAGGTAGGAAGATATTTGGAGGTGGGGGAGAAAGAACGGACTGGTAAAGGGGGGGAAGCAGACCCTTGCATACTCAAAAGACTAGTTTTTTCTCTCTTCTGCATGAAGCATGGTATTGTTGAGTGGCCCCATTTAGTTTACACCTGGAAGATTACTTGAGCATAATTTGTATTTTTAACCAAAAAATTATGTTCTCTTTCTTGTCCACCTACATTCACTGAATACTTTTCCATAGACTTCTGTATCTTTCACTCATTCTTCATTTCAAGACCACTGAAGTGGAGGGGGCCACTAGGATACCCCCCCACAGGGACACAGAAAGCCATGGGTAGGATGAATTACTGTGGGACCAACTCCTCTTGCCAGGCTCTTAACAGAGAGAGACACCAGCAACCTGTGGAAGAACCCTTGTAGAATGATTCTCAGTTCCGTTAAACAGTAACTGTTCTTTCTTCCCTGCTAAAAATTGTTCTGTTAATTTTGTTAACTACCACTGAAAGTTGTGAAAGAACTCCAAACGATAACTTTCTCTGGCTTCTAAAAGGAAGCCTTCGTGCACCAAAATAGTGCATGGCATTTATTTATGAAAGTGATTTTTATCCTTCACTCTTGATTAGATTAATTCTCTAGAGCATTTTAAAAATTGCACCAATGCTCTTATAATTGACACCACACTTTCTCAGGCAAAAAGTAATTTGGATTAATGGAATAAGCACCACATATATTTCTTTCTATTGGCCAAGATTTTTTCCATGTTTTTATTTTTATTTCTTAAATAAACATTATTTTAGTATAATAAGGCAATGTTTATAATGTTCTCTTTAGGGATTTAGAGGCCAGATTCTTTTTTTAGCATCCTGATACAGTTATGGAAGAATTAATCTTTTTTGGAGGGAAAATACACAGCAGATATTAAACAGTTCAGTAATCTTAAGTTTATTTTTTTTCTAAATGCTGGGTACACAAGTGACTCTGGTCTTCTCTCAAAGATAAATAAACATTATCCTGCAAATTTTGGTAATTCCTAAATACATATTATTCATTACCAATATTCAGTGAATGATAGGTTTGTCTATGGAGGTTGGAAATAGTGGTACATGTTCTGAGCCGGCATCTTTATTATCCTCTATATATGTCTTACTTTTCTCCTCTAGTTGTCCTAGCTGTGACTGTTTGCTTTTCTGAAAGCATAAGCATTGAGACTACCCCATCTACATGGCCCAGGGCAGATGATAGGCCTTTGGCCCTAGGGATGGCTTTAGGTTGGACTCTGGGTTGTTAGGAGAAGGGACTTTGGAAAACTGTGTATCAGATAAACAGACGATATTTCTGAGTTTGGCACTCCCATCAGCATGCTGATGTTTTGACCACAAAGTCCAGCTCCAGTATGGTAGGTAGCCCAGAACCACATATGGCTATTGAGCACTGAAATGTGGGTAGTCCAAATTAAGACATGTTGTAAGTGTGAAATACACACTAGATTTCAAAGACCTGGTACTAATAGAAAAATGTAAAAGATACCATTATTAATTTTTATATTGGTTATATATTGAAATATTTTGACTATGTTGGGTTAAAATATATTATTAAAATGGATTTCATAGGGTGCCTGGCTGGCTCAGTTGGTAGAGCATGCGACTCTTCATCTCAAGGTCATGAGTTCAAGCCCCACATTGGGCATGGAGTTTATGTTAAAAAAAAATCAACTGTATTTAATATAACTTCACATAGATTTCACCTGTTTATTTGTGCCTTGAAAAAGTGGCTTTTAAGAAATTTAAAATTAGATGTGTCTCACATTTGTAGTCCACATTATATTTCTACTGCACAGCACCTATCTTACCAAGAAAAGTAAAAAAGGCCCACGGCACAGATTTTTCCCTTGTAAATTTTTAAAAACAAAAAATAATTTTAACTGACATTTAGTATGTGCTTGTATGTGTCAGACAAGGTGCTGAATTCTTTTTACATGGATTATCTCATTTGATCCTCACCACCATTCTGCGAGGCAGGTGATTATTACCATCATTTTATAGATGTGGAACTTGAGGCATACAAAAGTTGAGTTTGCTGATCAGGATTGCACAACCACACGGGTAGGGAAAGCAAAATACACACCCAGTCTAACCTTAAAGCCTGTGCTCTTTTAACCATGATGCTAATAATGGCAGGTGAGCAATCCTCGAAGGTAGCAGATACTCCCTACAAAACAATTTGATAGCAGGGTGGAAATATCTCATGCTTTGAACTTAATAAGCCTGATTTTATGCTGGTTCTGCTACTTATTATCTATGTGATCTCCTTTTTTTGCTTTATCTCTATGAGCCACAATGGTCTCACACATAAAGCAGAGAGAGAAAACACCCACATCTGAGGAATGTTTTGATGATTAACAAGTATGTGTGTGGAGCACCTAATGTATAATATATGCTCAATAAGTGGTAGCTTGTGTTATTATTAATTACTAATCCCAAAGCTTCTCTCCAAAGGGTGCCAGGAGAAAAGAGAGAACAAGTGTGTGACAATAATCTCTAAAGTCTAAGAGTGGGCTTGTCTGAAGTCCTGGATAACCCATTCTAATACTGCATGCCAGAATGGAATTCCCCATATTGTGTTCCCAGAATCGAACCACCTTCCAAGGCTCTTCAAATTGTGTGTTAGCCCACGAATTAGTTGACTCTACCCAAGAGAGAATTTTAGTCTAGACTAAACTATAACCCAACTGGTTCACGATGGGTCTTCTTATCATTTAATTATTTGACAAACAAAATTAGCCTCCTTACACTTCCATGAAAGTGCTGAAACTATATTAGCTACACTCAATTTAACACAGCCCATCCAAGACCCAGTCACACTCGCCAGTATTTAAAAGTATGTAAATAACGATATGTTAAGTAAGACAGAAAAAGAGGCTGTGCTTTTATTCTAGTACCTCCTAGCACCTCAAGATAAATAAGTAGTGAGATATGCATATTCCATTGCTTTGGCTCATGAAATTTGTAACCAGTACATGTATTTTTTTTTTTTTCACTCGCAGCATCGGGTTCACACTATTCTGACGGCAGACCTGGTTATTGTGATGAAGCGAGGAAATATTTTAGAATATGACACTCCAGAAAGCCTCTTGGCTAGGGAAGATGGAGTTTTTGCTTCTTTTGTCCGTGCAGACATGTGAAGGGATGTCTTAAACTGATACATGAATTTAAAATAATGCAGTCATAACCTACTTAGTGGATCATCAGCTTGACCTTCAAAAAGTGGCATCTTAAATTTTTACACTTTTGTAAAGCATATTTGTTGTGTTTGGGACTTTGTAATTAGTTACAGTGTCACTTTACCAATGAATATTGTATTTCCTATGTTGATATTTCTTTTTTGTTTGTTTTCCAAGATCTTACTGCTTAATATGTTCATTACTGATGACTGTCTAATGATTAAGCCACTTTACCGTTAAGAATAGCAGGCTGGGGCGCCTGGGTGGCTCAGTTGGTTAAGAATAGCAGGCTGTATGAAAACATGTAAGCTACTTTAACTGGTAAGTCAACAGCTATAATTTCTCATAATTTTAAGGCTGGTAAATACCTCTCAGGCATAGAAGTCACCATGAGTATTCAGTATGGTTATACTCTTATTTGGAAGAATATGTTTTCCGTTTTGTTGGTGTCCCCAGATGTTACTGGAAGAGAAATAAGAGGACAGGTTTTCTAATCAGTGAGAAAAGAAAACACTCAAATCCATTATCTACCGGATGAAAATATTCTCTGTGTTCATTACCATTAGTAGCAATACTGATGCTTCCATTAACAGTCTCTTTTCCTCATCTAAATTGTTTCCTGCTACCAAGAAGTCATTTATGGTAGCTTTGGAAAGCCAAAGCCTTAATCAGAGAGATCATGGGAAAAGTTTGGATATTTGAAAAATTATACTCAAGGTTCCATTTTTCCCTGTTCAGTCAGGAGAGAGTTCCTAAGGTATCAGGAATAATGTGCTTTTTCCAGACTAAAGTTCAAAGAGTAAATATATTCAGTCCTTCCATGGCAGGCCAGCTAAAACTCTCTATGGTTTAATTCACCACTAAATGTGGTTATGATCCTGAGCCCTAAAATTCCACATTTTCAAGATTCAGGAGCATAGGCAAGTGGCCTCGTTTGCCTATATAAGTATATATGAAACAAGTGTCTTTCAAGGTGGAAGAGTATATTTCTTTTTGACATTTCTGCCCAGTGGTGTCACATGTATATCCATTTGGTACTGCTCTAATTTTAATGCACATGTAAAAAAGTGAATCAAAGTGTTATTCTAATTTTAATGTACATGTTAAGAGTGCATCAAATATGGATTGAATATTAGTGTTATGTTTTGTTTAAATATAAATTAATAAATTTTAAAATACTAAAAGTTACCTGCATTGTCATACTAAGCAGCCAAAGCTTTCTACTATAATTCTCTGCCCATCTAGTATAAATATCATGGGTTTTCATATGAAGACCGCGTGCATTGTTAGATTTTGAAGAATTATGATTGATAGAAAAAGAGAATTTGTGCCCCCTCTCTGTAGTTTTTATGTTCAGTTTATTGTATTGTGTACTCACTCTTGGGAAATCTGTAATACTAGTTTATCTGGCATATATGACTGGGCCTTCACCTAAATATAGAGTCCTGATGTTTACCTAAGATAAGTTCTATAAGGATGGACAGATGTGTTCTGTGTCATTTAGCTTGAATTGTCACCCTTTGTTGTATATCTAAAACCTCATTGAGAAAAATCCTCTTAATGTTTCCTGAAAGCTAAACAAAACAATCAATAACTATTAAATCAATCTTGAAAATATTTTCTAAAAATTCTACCAATCTCCTCAAAGTATTTCTGGCATGGAAATGTTTTGTAAGGTTGCATTTGCATGGTGCTGGTTATCAACTTACTCCTCATTCTCACAGAGAAATGGGGATTTACCCGTAACAGTAACCCCTCATGATATTTGTAAATATATATGTCAACAGCAGCATAGCTGATGACCCTAAACTGAGAATCACATTTCTCATTCTGACACCCAAGTGGTCACTAGTTCTGTCATAACTTTTAGTCACTTGAGTGTTTAATAGTTTACAAAACTGAACTGACTGAATAAAGTCAGGAATGACTTTTTAAATTGTTTAATCATCTATTATGCTATATGTATGATCTATTGAATATAGAAATGACTCATCCTGAAATAATTTTTTAGTAAATAGGTACGTATCTATAAAAGATGAGCCTTAGCCAAATCAAATTTTACACCCACCAATTTTACACTTAATTAACCAAAATCCATTTTATAGATTTTAATTCCTTAATATTTGTTAAAAGCCATAAATGCATAAAGATTTATATGAAAAAAACCTTTATATGAAAATGATTTTATTTTTCATATAAGGTTATATAAGGTTTCATATAAGGTTACTGATATCACTTCGAGGTTTTTAAAAAATTTCTCTTGAAGGACTGAGCATCCTCTATTCTTGTGCTACTACTCGTGATCCATTTAAAAGTCAGCTTAGCTCTAGATTAGATACCAGAAGACTGGTATTTGAGATCCCATAACTGATATTTGAGATCTGGGACCATGTCTGTTTATTCTTTATGTCCTTTACATTTAATACAAGTGTCTAGCCCACAGTAGGCCCTAATAAGTATAGTTGATTGACCCATTGATTAGTCTCACCACTAGCCATGGGCCTAAAACTCTGGGTTATTCTCTGCACTTTTGTGTTGTGTTGATTCTACTGTGAAAATATACTGCCTTGGTATTATATAATAAATTACTCTTTCTCTTTGCTTGATTAAATAGGGTTATTATTCTATCACTTATTCTTTCACTTATTGGGTATCAACTAGGATGATCAACAGATATAAATCAACACCAATTGCTGAGATAATACCCTGTTTTGACAGTTTTGTTTCACATTTGCCACTTGTCCTGCACTTCACTAGTTTTATATATAGGTTCTATGTGGAAGTTTCCATTAAGTGAAACAGCTGTGTCAATAATTTTATGACATCTCTAATTAAATAGCTGGATGTCTGGACTTTTCCCTAAGGTTTGTTGATCAATTTTTATAGTTAGCTTCCAATATATCTTTTATTGCTTATTTTGTTCTATACTCTTTTGGACTTCTGTGATTTACAGTACCATGATAATTCCATTATTGATCCATTATCTAAAGTTAAATGCAATCTTCTTATCTTAGTGTCTTAGCATAAGAAACAGTAGTCAAGAGTATGTGTCCTGTCACTTAGGTTTATTTTTTTCTTGAGTAAATACACATCATTCCCAACAGTTTTTCTCGAGCACTAGTAAGGTGCACCTGGCTCAGACTTTCCAATGAAAGGGCTTGGAGCTGTATTTCTAGCGAGTGTCTCCAGATGAGATTCATAACTAGCCAAGTTTGGAATCACTGGTCTACCTCAGTCATCACGTAAATAACATGGAACCACAGAATACTGAAGGTGATTTTCACATGCTCCCGCCTCTTTCCTCGCATTACCTTCTTCCAGATGGCTAAAACGGGCCTCTCAGTGTCACTGAGTGAACCCCTTAGTTGCATCGTAAAAGAAACGTAGAGGTAAATGAACCGAATCTTACCTAGACGATATAAACTGGGGTTCTGAATGCTGTTTTCTTTTGTTTTGTGGTTTGATCAGCAAAGAGGCAAAGCCTCTTCCCCCCACATCTGAATTAGCTGTCGTATCATTTATACATTATTCTGCTAAATTTAGAGTCATATTTCCAAATGTTTGCAGTCCATAAATGTGAGGACTTTGGGTAGGTTTCACTATTGATGTCTCACAATATGGAAAGAAGGTAAGTTATCTGATGATTATTCCCCTTTCCACCTTCACCTTTTTTTCTACAGGTGTTGTCATCATTGCTGATATGTGAAGGTTGACATATTCAGTCTGTATATCTGCTATATAAGATTTAAGTAATTTCTTTTTTGGGGTGCCTGGGTGGCTCAGTCGGTTAAGCATCTGACTTCTGACTTGGGCTCAGGTAGTAATCTCTGGGTGGTGGGATCAAGCCCTGCATTGGGCTCCTCGCTCAGCAAGCTACCCCTGCTTGTGCTCTCCCTCTCCCTCTCTCTCGCAAATAAATAAATAAAATCTTTTAAAAATAAATAATTTATTTTTCTATGGGTAGTAACAAATTCCTCTTAGCCATTCACACTATGGTTACCAATGCCCTCTTTCTAAATTGACAAAGATCAAGGGAGTCATACCTGGCTAAAGAAGTTAGTAGGCTCTAAGAAGAATGCCCTCTGTGACCTTTGTGCCACCAACCATCACAGATCATCTGCAGTTATGTACTACATACTAATGACAAAGAACTTTGTTTTCTTTTTTTAAATTTTTTAAAATTAACATATAATGTATTATTTGTTTCAGGGGTACAGGTCTGTGATTCATCAGTCTTACACAATTCACAGCACTCACCATAGCACATACCCTCCCCAATGTCCATCACCCAGCCACCTCATCCCTCCCATCCCCCACAACCCCAGCAACCCTCAGTTTGTTTCCTGAGATTAAGAGTCTCTTATGGTTTGTCTCCCTCTCTGGTTTTGTCTTGTAAAAACTTTGTTTTCTGAGCATTATTTTTATCACTTAACCGACCCACTGCATAAAATAAGTAATGTGTTCATAAACAGCAACAGTATAACACTGCTTAATGCCACTTCATTCCCGTTTTTCTCTTAGAGCTACGCTATGCACTATTTATACACATTATCAGTTATTGTTAAGTGAAGGACTATTGACCTTTAATATTATCAGAGTCAAGTGGATTTAGACCAGCTCTTCCATATCTAGGTATTTGCTCTTTGACCCATAGTAGTTGGGGCTTTGTTCCAACACTAGTTAGTTAAGTAAAGAGCAATTAAAAAAAATTAATCTCTTTCAGAAATCCAAAATGTTTATCAAGCCTTTGAATGTAGACATAAACAGAATTCTCAATTGTTTAAATCCCTTAATGTGTACCATTAAGCATCTTTCACAGGTTACAACATATCCTTCAAACCCTCACCCAGTGTGCATGCCATCCCCCATGTGCACATAACTGTTCACATTTTATCTTGCTGTCTTTTTTTTTTAAAGATTTTATTTATTTATTTGAGAGAGAGAGAATGAGAGACAGAGAGCATGAGAGGGAGGAGGGTCAGAGGGAGAAGAAGGCTCCCCGCCGAGCAGGGAGCCCGATGCGGGACTCGATCCCGGGACTCCAGGATCATGACCTGAGCCGAAGGCAGTCGCTTAACCAACTGAGCCACCCAGGCGCCCCTATCTTGCTGTCTTAAAGAATAAAGCTGCATGAATCTTTTCACCACATATTAATACAATGCATAGAAAAGTCAAATACAGGTGCCCACAATAGATGGCATAAAGAGAAATTCTTATAATCACAGTAATTTTTAAGTGTATCTTCTAGCCCTAATGCCACTTTAGGAAGATATTTAACTTCTAGATGGATCATAGAATGTGTTTCCAGTGAGAGGAGATTCAGTGGTTTTTTTCTATCATTTTTTAAGATAATCATGGCAATATATTGATGGGTTATAGTGATCAGGCTCTTTTTAGTTCAACAAAGGGATGATAATTGTTGTCATAAAGGTAGTGACCTGGGTTGGGCATCTATGAAAGAAAGATGGTTGTCTCCTTACTAAGGGATGCTACAGGAAAATGAACTTGGGTTTTTCATCTGGATTAATAATTTTATGAATATCTGCTATGTGTTCACCTTTGAGTAAATCAGGTGTGATTCAAAATTTTTTGTCAGGGTAGTACAGAACTTTCTGGTATGTTAAAAATAGTATGAAATCTTCTGAAATAACTATCTTTATTGTACTTCTACAGGGAAAGAACTGAGATTAGAATTTAAATGAATCACCTCCAAATCATGGATCTGTCTCCAGAGATGGCACTTTAAGCACCAGGGGATGGGAGTGGAGAGATGGGGGTGCTGCTGAAAGGACACATCTGCCTTAAAATCTAGGGAAAGCAGAATTATCAGGTCCTAGGACAAGTGCAGGCTGGGCCAAGTCTAACAGCCTGTCTGGGGACAGTCCACTCCCTCAATTCCATCTCTCTATCTCAAGCTTCTCAGCTTCCTTCTACCGTTCTGTGCCATTCTATCCTTCCATCCACTTCTGTCTCACCTCGCATGTAGCCTTGATTAACCCACTCATATCTTAGATGAAACCATCTTCACTTTTCAGATTGTCCTCTTCAAAGTATCAAGCAAGGAATCTATTTTGCGCAGCTCATCTTTCTATCTTATGCATGACTGGACAACTTTTCACTACTTCACTTTGGGTCAAGGATTGACTTCTGGCCTAAAAAGCTGTGGCCAGATAATATAGCCAATTGAAAGTAATGCCGAGGAAAACGTAACACAGTCTGGAAAGTGCCATGAAAGCAAGAATACAAACCAAAATCACAACCAGTAATTTCAGAAAAAGAGTGATGATACTGAGCTGGCTACTGATTATTTTTCTTTGGAAAATAAAAAATTAAGGGAGGGAGAACCATTCTTCCATCACATGAGCAGTAGAGTGAGCTTGTTGACTAAACCCTTTGGACATTCTTTACATGGTCCCACCTTTGCTCCAGAGAAAGGCAAAGTCCAAAGTAGGATGTAATTTTCTTTTAAACAAGAAAACAAAACAAAATCTCCTGCCATAAGTAATCACCTCCAAATATTGACTTTTTAAGCCCAAGTTTTATTTCCCTGTGGGAATGACTGCATAACTCACAGCCTGTTAGACACTTTCTCACAACCACCCATTCAAAACAACCAGTAACACCCACTTAGAATTGCACTCTCTCACCCATTTTAGGATCCCCAATACATAGGACAATTATAAGCATACCTCAGATAGGGCACCAGTTCCTCCCAGGGACCTGTCACTCTCAGACACTTACAAGTGCCAAGCACTTGGCCAAGGCACTGAATTTGCTGTGTCATTGGCAAACTGGAAAAAAGAGGTGGCAAAATGCTGTGATTTGGGGTACAAGAGTTCACCTGAAAAAGAAATGAGCTTCTTTTCTTTGTTTCCACTTGACTGAACTTCTAGCATATATTAAATACAGTAAAATATTATATTGGAAACACAAGGCATCTAGGCTTTTGGCCAAAAAACTTAGGGAAAAAATTAGCAAGCCTAATATTTCATGAGAAATTCTTGGCTTAAACAATATTTTAATAAAGCTTAACTATGTGTGCCAATAAAGCAGAGAGATGACATAATGACTTATGATTTAAATATCATATAATTTCTGTAATGTCTAGTACCATCTTGTATCAAAAAACATGAGAGAAGCAAAATTCCTGGGGGAAAGAAGAGCAATGTGAAATCAATTCAGATATCAGTAGAATGCATATTGCATAAACCATCTCATTAAAAAATTTGATGAAAGGATAATTACAACTAACATATTGAGCAGATATGAGCCTTATAAGTATAATCTCATTTAATCTTGACAAAAATTCTACGAGGCGAACATTATCACCATTTTATAATTGGGGTTCAGATTGGCTAATTTGCCCAAGGTTTAATGGAACAGAGATTCAGGCAGTCCGACCCCAAGGCCCACACTCCTGGCCATGCACTATACTAGATTGATGATTCAGTTAGTGAATCCATTGAGTTCTCTTGGAAATAAGTGCTTTACATGGTCTGTGATATATAATAAAGAATAATTATGTTAGCCTATGGAGAATATATTGAAAAAAGAAACTGGACCAGGAATTAGAAGACCTGAGTTCTAGTCTTGTTTCTATCACATATTGGA